AGTGTCCCAACTTTTTTGGAATCCGGTTTGTACCAAACAGGTTGAGCAGAGTAAGTAAAGACAGTAGTGTAGTGAAAAGATGTGGTCAGTTTGTCCTCCAGCAGTCTAAGCCTAAAGTAGCATAATAACTAAGGGGTAGCTCAGGAAACCCAAGCTAACCCTAACTATAGGATTTAGCAAAAAGCAAAGTCTTACCATACCATACCATTTTATTTATCGAGCAATTAAAACAGCTACGAGGTCAACGAAAGTGCTGTAAAGACAGAACAACAGACAACACACGAAGCAATATACAAAATGAAGTAAATCAAAAATATAGACAGAAAATCTTAAGCCTAGTCTTAAAACTGGACAATGTGTCAGCCTCATGGACAGAAACTGAAAGTTGGTTCCACAAGTGAGGAGCCTGATAACTGAAAGCTTTGCCTCCCATTCTGGTTTTGGAAATTCTAGGAACCGTAAGTAAACCTGCAGTTGGAGAGCGAAGTGCTTGTTGGGAAAATACGGAACAACAAGATCTGTATTATAAGATGGAGCTAAGTTGTTGAGAGCTTTGTAGGTTAGAAGTAAGATTCAATTCTGTATATGACAGGGAGCCTGTGGAGATAAACTAAAACTAGAGAGATATGATCTCTCCTACTAACTCCAGTTAAGACTCTGGCAGCAGAATTTTGGATTAACTGAAGATGTTTTAAAGAAGTATTTGGACACCCAGATAATAAACCATTGCAATAGTCCAGTCTAGGCTTGACAAATGCATGAACCAGTTTTTCAGCATCATTTTAGATAAGCTGTTTCTCATTTTAGTGATATTACGCAGGTGGAAGAAGGCAGTTCTAGAAACATTTTTAATGTGGGGGTTAAAAGACATGTCCTGATCAAAAATAACACCAAGATTTTTAACATTAGAACAGAAAGGCCATATTATTACCATCCAAGGATGGTGAAAAACTGAAAAATGTGTTCCTAAGATGCTCAGGTCCAAAAACCAAAATCTCAGTTTTGTCTGTATTCAAAAGCAGAAAATTAAGGGTCATCCAGGTTTTTGTCTTTAAGACATGCTTGTAGCTTAAGTAATTGATTTAATTCATCGGGTTTCATGGACAAATATAACTGTGTATCATCAGCATAACAATGAAAATTTATCCCATGTTTTTTAATAACATTTCCTAATGGAACCATATATAAAATAAAGAGTATTGGTCCAAGCACTGAGCCCTGAGGAACTCCATGACTAACTTTGGTGTATGAAGAAGTTTATTTATATTTACAAACTGGAATCTATCAATCTATTTAAATAGATCTATTTTAATCTATTTAAACCATTTTAGAGCTGTTCTTGTAATCCCAATATCATATTCAAGTCTCTGTAATAGAATATTATGATCAGCTGTATCAAATGCAGCACTGAGGTCTAACAGGACCAGTGTAGACACAAGTCCATTGTCTGAGGCCATGAGAATATCATTAGTGACTTTTACTAGTGCTGTTTCTGTGCTATGATGAGCTCTAAACCCTGACTGAAACTCTTCAAACAGATAATTTCTTTACACAAACACACTCTGGACTAGGGCTGAGTACCAAACGTCGGTTCTTTTATGGCACCGACCGAACTGCTTCAGTCGGTGTATGGATCAAATTATGCCTCTTCTTTCGGTGTAAGTTTCGGCGATTGGCTGTAACGTTACAGCTAATGCCAGTGCTGCAACTTGCAGCGCAAGAAAAACTAGGAAAAACACGTACGTGGTTACACCTACAGACCGGGTTAACGTGGTTTCTAAGGCAAACCTTAATATGCAGCACCTGACCATGCTCGGAATTTAAGAGCGTAAAGTTGCTCCTTGTTTGACTGCAAGGAGAGAGGACCGCAGCCATCCTCCTCTCAGCATTTAAGTCAGCCTGTGGGTGTTAGAGAGCCTGAATGGCCTGATTAAACATCTCCATGACCGGACTCCGCTTCGCATCAAGGACGGCACTGTGTCTGAGATTTCAGCTGCTAAGTTTACATTTGTTCATTCATTCAACCTTTATTTAGTCAGGTTAATTAACGTTACTGCAACTGAATATGTGCATCGCAGTGAGTTAAATCAGGATCCATGTTAGTCTGGTTCAGATACTCATCCATCCATTAATTATCTTTTACCCGCTTCTTCCATTTTGGGTCACGGGGGTCGTCGGTGCCCATGTCCAGCGATCACTGTGCAAGGGGCGGGGTACACCCTGGACAAGTCGCAAGTCCATCACAGGGCCACATAGAGACAAACAACCATTCTCTCTCTCGCTCTCACCTAGGAACAATTTAGAGTTACCAATCAGCCTAACATGCATGTTTTTGGTCTGTGGGAGAAAACCAGAGTACCCGGAGAAAACCCACACATGCACGGAGAGAACATTCAAACTCCACCCAGAAAGATCCCCGGACCGGGATTTGAACTGGCAACCTTCTCGCTGAGAGGCAGCAGCTCTACCAGTTGCGCCACCATGCTGCTGTTTTTTTGTTTGTTTGTTTGTTTTGTTTTGCTTTGTTTTGTTTCTTTTTTATGTATAATTTTATTTTTCAATTCATATGCTTTTTTATGATTGTCTACTGTTGTACTGATAAATATCTCCTGGAGGGTAAATTATATCTTGTCTGCAAATATTCAATCAAGCTGCAAAGCAGACAGTCTGATTTCAGTCAGCCGTGCTCAGTCTGTCCCTCCTCCGAGACGGGCAGACTGAGTGCAGCTGACCGAAATCAGATTGCCTGCTTCAGACTGAAGGAGAGGAACACACCGCTGAAGCCACGGAGCTCGACCGTCCAACATAAAACTAACTGTACCACAGTGCCTGGCTAAACAATCCTTGTGCGCTTTAATGTGGTGCTTTTGCAAATGTTTATTAAGTTCAATGTATTGTAGGTCGCAACCAAGCTTCTTCCTCTTGGTACAGCGGTTCTGCAAACATTGCACGTTGCTGTCTTGCGGTGTTTAGTGTAAAATACTTCCACACAGAGGCCGTGTTACGATGAAAAGTTAGTTAGCCATTAGCCACAGTGCTGCTGCTCAGTTCTCATGTTGTAGCTGGCTGCAAACTATGAAATGGATTTCCTGAATGTGAACGGGGTCTTATTAGGTTTCATGAAACACGCCTCTTTTCATGAAATCCATTTCATTTTTTGAAGACAACTTGCAGAGCAGCCAGCAGGGGATCACACGTGAAGATGTTTCAACAGACACAGACATGCACCATGGATCGGAAATCTCTGCAGGTTGGAGCGGAAAAATCTGATACATAAATTACGCTGGTATCGGAGGCCGATACCGGATCGGCCCCATCCCTAGTTTCTAATGGTAAATCACCTACTCCACCTACAAGTCATACCTCAGTAAATCATACCTTCTCTTTTTCACTGTTCTCTGTAAGTGAGGTTACTAAACTATTAAAAGGTCTAGATTCTAGAAAATCTGCAGGCCCTGATGACCTCCCTCCTTCCTTATTTCTTATGTCTAGCTAGCTGCACACATACCTGAACCAGTGTCATACATTTTTAATCTGTCCGTACAAAATAATATTGTTCCAGATGCTTGGAAAACAGCTTTTGTGCTACCATTATTGAAGAGAGGAGACCCCACTATACTGAACAATTATCAACCAATCTCCAAACTCTGTATTTTGGCTATGGTTTTAGAAAAACTGGTAAATATTCAAGTCAAGAAGTATTTAGATTATTTTAACATTTTATCTTTCCCCCCCACCCACCCCCAATCTGGCTTCAGGAAACAACACAGCACAATGACTGCTTCGCTAAAGGTTTTTAACGATGCTGTTGAAACAATGGATGCTAAGGATTACTGTGCTGCACTTTATTTAGACCTGTCCAAACAAAGCTTTCCAATCCTGTAGATCATGACATTTTATGCCATAAGCTCTCAGATAATGGTTTCTCTGATCACACTATTGGTTAGTTTTCTAACTATCTCAGGTCAGAGGCAATGTGTAATAATGGCACTTAATGGCACTTCGTCAAACTGTTTAACAGTCACTAATTGTGTGCCACAAGGCTCAGTTTTAAGACCCACTCTTTTTATAATTTACGTAAGTAATGTAGGTCAAAACATTCCTGATGCCTCCTTGCATCTCTATGCTGATGATACAATTGTTTATAGTCAAGTTAATACAGTTGCCAAGGTTTTCCAGCTTCTACAGTCTACATTTGACATCATTCAGTCAGACGTGTTTTGTCTCAAATTGGTTCTAAATGCTAATAAAACCAAAGGGATGTTTTTAAACAGAAAGTTGATGCCATTAGTTCTTTCTTCTGTCTCAACCATGCATGGTGTTCCATGGTGTAAACAAGTTCTCAGCTTCTTTTTGCAAAGAAAATTTTTTTATACAAAGGCACGGGTTTTAAACGTGAAATTTGGAGCTTCGACAAGACGGACATTTTTTTTCCCAAGGTCGGCCTGTTAGCTTAACTCATACCTTAGCTTCTCAGCTTAGCTGCTTTTAACAGTTCAAAAACGTGATTTTGGACCAGTTAAAATTGATTTTAAAGATAAAGGGAGGGGTCAGTGAAGAGCACTGGGGTTGAGCTTTTTGTCATCCAGTGTCCAGTAGAAAGAGAGAGACACGAAGAAACGATAAAGCTGATAAATGAAAATGAGGTAGATTATTCTCATTTATCATGTGATTAATTGATTTATTGTTTATTGCGACAGGCCTAGTCACATTTATTATTTTTAAACTATTTTAGGTATTTTTCTGAGTCACATAACCTCCCTAAATAATAGCTGGAAAATAAATTTAACAAGTAAAGTTTAAAGTTAAAATAAAAAGTTTTCAAACATTTTTGCATAACTTTTTTTTTTAACTTTACTAATTGGGCTTTTATGATAAACAGACATTTAATCTTATCTTATTGAATAAAATGATGTTTCTTAGATTTGGAACAGTTCTTAAACACAGTACATAAAATATTAACACAAAACTTATAGTTGTCGATTTTGTCTATTTTTCAGTGTTCCCTTCAGATGTTCAACAAACTATGCTCATCAGAGTAGATGTTCCTGAGGAATGGAGGCCTGGTGTGGACCAGCAGGATCCTGAGACCCTTGACATCAAGGAGAAACAAGAAGAACTCTGGACCCAATTGGATGGAGATCAGCTCATAGTGAAGGAGGAGACTGATGCCAGCAGGTTTTCATTCACTGCAGTCCATGTGAAGAGTGAGGATGATGAAGAGAAGCCTTTGTTCTTACAACTTCATCAGGACCAAATGGAAGGCAGAGATGTTCCAACCAGCAGCTCAGCTGACCAGATGAAAGTAGAAACTGATGAAGAGGACTGTGGAGGAGAAGGAACTAGCAGGAACCCATATCTATATCCTCATGGAGATGCTTCCAGCTCTTCAGAAAATGGAGTCAGTGAGGATGATGAAGAGGATGAGGATGGGAACAATCCTGACTCTCAGTTGGAGCACTTGTCAGACTCTGGGTCAGCAACTGAAGACAGTGACAAAAATGTAAAGACACATGGGACAGTCCAGACAGGACTGAAATCATTTAGTTTGGATGAACCTGGTAACAGTTTTAACATAATAAGAAATTTAAACATGCACATGGGGGACCACATAGGAGAGAAACCGTTTAAATGTACGGATTGTGGAAAAACGTTCAACCATGAGTCTAATTTAGACACGCATATGAGAGGCCACAAAGGACAACAAACATTTAATTGTGAGGTTTGCGGAGAAAGCTTTGCCCACAAGACAGGTTTAAACTCGCACATGAGAACTCACCCTGGAGAGAAACCATTTGAATGTGAATTTTGTGAAAGAAGATTTAAACTTAAGACGAGTTTAAACTTGCACAAGATAGTTCATACAGGAGAGAAACCATTCGAATGTGAGTTTTGTGGAAAAAGGTTTATCCACAAGACAAGTTTAAACTTGCACAGAAGAGTGCACACAGGAGAGAAACCTTTTGAATGTGAGATTTGTGGGCATAAATTTAGCCGTAAACCAACTTTATACACACACATGAGAGTCCACACAGGACAGAAACCGTTTATATGTGAGTTTTGTGGACAAGGTTTTAGCCAGAAACCCGCTTTAAATGTTCACATAAGACTGCACACAGGACAGAAACCGTTTAAATGTGAGGATTGTGGAGCCAGATTTCGCCAAAAGACCAGTTTAAACTCGCACAGTAAAGTCCACACAGGACAGAAACCATTTGAATGTAATATTTGTGGTAAAAGATGTAGCCAGAAGTCAAGTTTAAACTCACACATGAATGTCCACACAGGACAGAAACCGTTTGAATGTAATATTTGTAATGGAAGATTTAGCCAGAAGACAAGTTTAAAGATACACATGAGAGTCCACACAGGACAGAAACCATTCGAATGCAATATTTGTGGACGAAGATTTAGCCAGAAGACGAGTTTAAACTCACACATGAGAGTCCACACAGGACAGAAACCATATGAATGTAAGGAATGTGGACAGAAATTTGGTCATAAGTCAAATTTGAACTCGCACTTGAGAGGCCACACAGGAGAGAAACCATATGAATGTAAGGACTGTGGACAAAAATTTAGCTATAAGTCAAATTTGAAAATACACTTGGCAGTCCACACAGAAGATAGACCACATGCATGTCAGGATTGTGGACAAAGATTTAGACAAAAGTCTAATTTAAACATGCACATGAGAATCCACACAGGAGAAAAACCTTTTGAATGTGAGATTTGTGGGCAAAATTTTCGCCTCAAGTGTATTTTAAAAAGCCACATGAGTGTCCACACAGAGCAGAAACCATTTGAATGTGAGGATTGTGGTCAGAAATTTAGCCGCAAGTGTAATTTAACCAGACACACAAAAATCCACAAGAAATAACTTCTGTGACTGAGGTCAAAGTTTGGACTTCAGTCTGCTCTTAAACACACAAGAACCCTGTGGGCTGTGCCCCCCCATGGGGGCTCATTTTTGTGTGTGTGTGTGTGTGTGGGGGGGGGGGGGTGACGTTGCTGAATGTTTTGGGGGTGGTTTCCCCCCAGGACAAAAACATGTAGACAAACAGGCAGAACAGTTGTACAAAACAACAAACAACTCATCTATATTTTCACATATTTGTCATTTTTCTTTTTAACAAAATATACTGTTAAAATTGTCTGAAACAGGTTCCTATGAAGCAATCTGTTTCTCAATTAAAAAAATTATTTAATACACATGGAGGGCACAAAATCCAGTGCTGGGCCATCGGGGAGAAACACACACAGTGGCCTCTCTCCCTAAGTGGTGCTGAGCTTAGGGCTACACAAACTTCTTCAGATCGGTTGCAAGTGGTTGCCATAGCAATGACCTATGGAGAATCCCTATACTTAATGTGACCAGCGTTCAGCCAATAGACCCTCACCTTCTAACATGGTTGATCAATTGTGTTTTTTGTGGAGGCAGGCATGTAACTAATAAATCCTTCCTATCGGAAACAAGCTTTAGAACAGAAACTCTGCCCTATTGCTCTCTCTAAAACACAACGTTATAATAGAAAAATGACATAAGAGTATCAAAAAACATCCAAGTAAGATAAAATATCTTTCAGTACATTTGGAAAATGGAAAATTATGTTTTTACTAAAATCAAGAATTTTAATCAAGGATGACTAAACTAAGTTAACTCATCGTGTTTCATTAAAGATAATGTGTTCATCACACATTTAATATGTTGAAACTCTTTATAGAGCTTTGTTCTCCACGCCTCGATGCTCGCTTCATTTCTAAAAGCTCATGCACCTGTTGTACCAAGAAGTGTTCAGACTGCATTGGAGCAACACACTACCTGATACCCGGCATACTCCATCCGAAGTCGAACAGTTGACTCACGGTCATGTGATTGTGGGACATTCATTTTTGCACACTCCTTTCATAGTCCATGAGACACAACCCAGCTGAGCTCTTGGGAAACCCCTCCCCCTGCAATATACATCAACACAAAGGTTTCTTATGGTCAGACTTTCAATTTGTCTCTGCATCCCACAATCCTGAAGAAAGTGCCACACTTTTCAGCAAACGGACTCCTCCATACACAATGTCTGCACAATCCCATCCAGAAGTTTTTGACCATGTTGCTTTTTAGTATTATATAAAAACTAAAAACAAACAAGGGTTAGTTTTACTGAAATTACTTTATTTAGTAAAGTATTCAGTCTCAAAGTATAAAAATAAAAAATTATCCTTCTGTTATTTAGATTGAAAATGTCTGCACAAAATATAGATCAACAAAATCTACCACAAAAACTAAAGTGTAGGTGCAGTTTCCCAAAATAACTGAATAAAATTAAGCTTAAGATCTGTTGAGCATAAATGTAACCTACAAGAAAAAATATGTTGCCTTTAAATGAGCTATAACTTCCAAAACTTATAACAGGGAGTCCAGCCTAGAGTGGGGTGGGGGGAGAGAAAAAAGCCAAGCTGCGCTGGTGTGGGGGAGGGAGAGACAGTTGAGCTGTCACTGCATGTCTGTACTCGCAGTTTAGAGCTGGATGGAGAGATGCAGTTGAGTCGCGCATTGTTTGTTTTTAGCTTTTTAGCTAGCTATTATTGTGCGCAGCTACTTAGCGTTACGCCAGTACCGACAGGTGGATGGGGCGTGCGCAGTTCGGTTCAGTAGTTCGGCGCGCTCGGTTCTGTTAACGGGGCGGGGCAAACCCTGACGTACTTGCGTCATGAAATTAGCATAACATGATATAATTTACTTTCCCGGGCAAGCTTTATTTTTTACCGGTATTATCGTGAACGATATGATATGGCCCAGCCCTAGTTTGAAGAGTTGTACAGCTGATCATCTGAGTGCATTTCCACATTGACGATCACGCCCACAGTCTTCTGACCGATCACACAATATTTGGCGCATACTCCGATGAGAAAAAGCTTGGTCCCGGCCTTGTGTCGAGAAAGGGCAGGCGAAGCTACGCTGAGAGCACGATGCAATTTTTGTCAACGTAAATTTGTCAGTGAAAGCTGATTTCAGTGCTTTGGGTGGAGTATGCTGGGCTCTTTAGTCTGAGTGTTTCTGCTGCTTTACTTCCTGGAGTAAACATTTTTAACACTAAAATACTTATATTTCTCTGCACAATAGTCAAGTCAACTTTATTTATACAGTAGAGCACATTTAAAACAGAAACCGTTATCAAAGTGCTTAACAATAACATCAACGGGAGTAAAATGAATGAGAAAAAATAAATACCACGCACTAATGATAATACTGAAGAATTAATAAAAAAACATTTAAAACATAGGAGCACAACAAAAAACAAAAACCAGGTCTCTTGTAAATGAGTCCTCGAGGCTCAATGGGATTTACCTGTCTAAATAAAGGTTGAATGAAAAAACACTAAATCAACTCGCACTATGTGAAATGCCTGCGAAAACAGATGTGTTTTTAGCAAAGATTTGAACTCTGGAAGGGAGGTGGCCTGCCTGATGTTGGGGGGCAGGTTGTTCCAGAGTTTGGGGCCCATGACTGAAAAAGCCCGATCTCCTCTGAGCTTCAGTCTTGTTTTTGGAACAGCCAAAAGCAGCTGATCAGATGATCTCAGGGCTCGAGAGGGAACGTATGGCTCAAGATTATAGCAAAGGTGTTTCTCCATTTCCCTTTTATTTTATTTTTTTTTTCTTCAAAACTCACAGTGTTCTCTCTGTGAGCGTGTTAGTTCCACGTTTGTAGTTATAAATATCTTAAGCTTTCTATTATATGTAAATATAACAAGGTTTTTGTGGTTTGTATGTTCTAACCTAGTGTATATTTGAAACCATACCCTGACATAACTGCACTGTGATAAATATAATGCATTTAATGATCATAAATGTAAAATAATTTACATTTTTGCATTCTGATGATTTTGTCTACTTTGCCTGTACTGATCATGCTGTTAATTAATGTTAAGTACTTTTAACCATAGTCAAGTCCGTAGTTTATTTTCAAATATAACAACTCTCATAATGTCTTATTGTCGTTATATAACTTTTGTTTTTTTATCCACAATGAATGAGAGTGGACTGTAAATTATATCATCTGTATGTGTTGTATATGAGGAAAATTGACTTGACGTATATTCAAAAGGGTGATTTACAAAAACATATAGAACGGGTTAAATGTGTGTACTTTTAGAGCTAACTACTTGAAAAACTGAGTAATTTTATTTTGTAGTTCTCAGAGCAAAGTTCTTCATTTCCTTCATGAAAACACAAGTAGACCTCTTTAGGAGGTTAAAACAAGTTCTGGAAAGATGATCAGAGTTTGTTGGTTTATTACAAGAAAAGCAAAGTAATAATGTTAAGGCTCCAGTTTACTCGGGCGTTCCTTTTTCTGCGCGGACTCAACGTGCACTGTGCACAGAGGGTTGAGATTTCATACTCAAGCGTCCACCCTGAGCGGCTGCAGCTCAGCTCCACTGACCAGGGACAAATTACCATCGGGACAAATTGAAGTTTTGAGATTGGTCATTTGCTGGCACGCCTACTGGATTGATTGACAGGTCGCAACAAAAAAAAAAAGAGCTGGCAGCCGCAGCGGTGTTCTGCGTTTATATGTTGTTAATAAAAAGTTCTAAAAAATAAAAAAAAACGGGAGCTCTGGCCCTGCAGCCCACACATCAGACCAGCCCGCAGGCACGCTGGACATGATTTTAATTCGCTCGTGACAAATTCCTTCATTTCTCACCATTTCAGTCATGGCATCAACGGAGAAGGAGGAAGAGGTCACTGCCTCTTGGGATTAAAAAAAACAAAAGGCCAGATTAGGGATGAAGAAGGGGAATTTAATACATTGGTGTCGCATACAAAACAGTCCATCGCCGGACAATTTATTGTGCGACACCGAGTACGCGGTCGTAAAAATTGATCTTTGCACGGACATGCCCTGCAGGCGTCCGCTTCAACTCTAATCCTAATCCGATATGCGCAGACCTCCACGGACCCACGTACGCCCGAGTATACTGGAGGCTTAACAATGGCAGGTTTTCGTATCATTCACATCATTTTGTTCCGTTTGTGTGACAGATTTAGATTTTCAAAGAAATACTCGTAAATAAAATCAGCATTACACTTGAATATATTAATGTAATAGTAGTTATATGTCATATGTTAGTCTTCGTTTAGTTGATGTGTTCTGACTAAAATGTTCACCAGGTTACGGAATATAACGTGTACTTTTGTCCTTTCTTCTATAATAAAAGTTTAAAATGAATGTGTTTCTCTTGTCCTCGTGATTTGATGGAGCAATCTTTCCTTTAAAATGTAAGGAAGTCAAACAACACCAGGGAGAAGAGCAGCAGATGCCACATGTCGTGGTCCAGGTAGGCCAGGGACTTGCTGCTTTGAACGGATCCATGTGACTCGGTCTGTGACACCAGCATCCATCAGTTTACTAACTTCAAATAAGAGCAAAGTAGAGAAAAATAATCAATCATGACTAAAATACTAGAACTCCAAATGTTAAAACTAGACATTCAGCTTAATTGTAATTGCTTATTGTAAACTTATTGGTCATTGTAAAGTCAAAACCACCAGTCCAAAAAATATTCTTAAATGTGTGCAATTTTTTTCTTCTAATTTTGATGTTAATTTGTCTTTGAATAATAGAATAATAAATATGTAAGTAAAACTTGGGACCAACGACCACAAACATTTGTTTACATATAGAAACAGTTGAAGAGCCATGTGGGGCGAAGAAGACCGTTTTTCTTTGTCCGGTACGTATTTATGTTCATATTTGTTGAGTAAAATGTGCAGATCAGCTCTTGGAGCAAGACAAATGGATCCCTTCCAAATTCCTTATCCTCTTCAAAACCTTCCCAACTTCATCCTCATCTTTCCCACTTCCCATTCAACAGTTTCTGTGACCTCTACTCTTCTTTCCCTGTCAATCTCTTCATCATTAGCTCCTCAAAGTACTCCTTCCATGCTCCCACAGTGGTGAGCACAGTTCTGCTAATCCGCTTATGGCAGAACTAACTTTCTGTTAAGCAGATTAGCATTCTCGCCAACTTTGAAAACCTGCACTGTAGGTGAATTGGCTTCCACTAATCTACCAAAGTTAAATCCGGTCCTCTGGACTGATTAAAAAAAAAACTTGTTGAAACGTTTCAGCTTTTACCCCAAAGACTTGGAGACTAGGTGCTATTTATAAGACTGAGTTTAGTGCAGCTCCTCAGACTGACAAAGTCTTTTGGATAAAAAACTAAATGTTTCAACAATTTTTGTGTTAATCCGTCCAGAGGACCTGATTTATCTTTGTTAGATTTTTCTACCTGGATTATCGAGCATGCATAAAGATAACGTCCACTAAATTTATATCAAGAAAAATCCAGTTTGCTATGGTTTTCAAAGACAGTTCTCTGTAATAAAACCATACAAGAGAATGGTGATTTGCATGGAGCTGTTAATACTATGCAGAGCTGAGAAATGCTAAATACCACAGTGTGATGTCATGAATTTCTGTGCTTCTCCCTCTCATACCTACCACAAACAATCTCTGACTCATGGTGTCAGTTTACAGCCAATAAAAATACTTTAAAATAAATGCTAAACCAGAACAGGAAAATAACATGTAAACCTCATTTTCACAATCAGAAACCTCCATCCATTATCTTTACCCGTTTAT